TATATATATATATATATATTACAATACCTGTATCGCCATTTCATCCAGTATGATTCCGCCTTCTCTTCCCTCGGGTCCAATCCTTCTCTTAATTGATTCTTGCCTCATCCACTGCCCAACAGATTCATTTAGACCGGGGTTTTGAGAACATGAATTCTTGTACATCCTTAATAGCCGTCCCGATGGTAGAACTAACACGCCGCTTTCACGAAGTTCTTTATATGCTTCAGGGCTTCTATTCCATATTGAGAGACACAAGCGTATAACCCTGTATGAAAAAAATGTGCATCTATATATGAACACGTAGCGAGAACAAATAGTATAGTTTCGCTAATTAATACAATTTTTTGAACGTTTTAATGAAAAAATAGCTAGTTGACTGATCAGTTGCGCAGTAATATTAGGCCTGTATAGGTTCATATAAGGGCCTAGTATTCATATAAGCTGAGCTGGCCCGGTAAACCTGGCTGACTCGCAAGTGGCGAGATATCGCCTCTGCAATTGTTTTTATATGTTTTTAAAATCTGATTTACACGAGAACCGGGCTGGCCAGGTTTACTGGCCTCCCGTTTGAGTGAGGCGAGATCTCCCCTTTTCCAGGCTCATATGAACACACTTATAGTGGGCTTGCCCAGCAAACCGGACTGAAAGAATTCAAAATAAGAGTTAGAAATCAACAATATTACAACTTCTGAAACAGTTTCCGTCAATAAAAATAGTATTTTTTTCAAAGTTAAAACAAATACCGCGTTCGCGCAAAAAATCGTGCGGTGATTTATATAGCGCTTGCAGGGCTATTCCGCCTCCCCGGTCTAACGGGCCATATACCGGACTCATATGAACAGGCCCTAAGTCCTAAGACGGAATGTATTTTATATCTTGATATTATATTTTAAATAGTACATAACTGTAAATTTTTCTTACTTTGGATGCCACCTGTGGCCATTCAGATTTTTTTGTTCCAATGCTTTTCTTTGTGCTTCCCAAAATATTTTCATATCCTCGTTTAAGGTATCTTGATCCACTTTTTGGAACATATGTAAGAAATCTATGTGATCCTCATCTGTAAATGATTTCATTTCATTCTCCATTTTATCTTTCATGTAATTGAGTCTTCTTTCGGCGTTCCTTCTACGATTTTGTTCTTCTTGCAGTTTCTTTTTCAATTCGTCTTGAGACATGTAGCTCTCTCTTTTTTTGGCAACGAAATTCGACTTTTCATTTGTACTGAGTGTGCTATTTCTCTTGACAGCTGATAGCAAGCTATTAGTTCGATTATAGTTCCTTTGTAATAATACTTTACAATTCAATGAACGGAGGTGCAGCATAGGTGCAGTCCCAATAACACCACTGTGCCATTCTTCGGTTATCCCCACTGCATACCCTTTGGCATCTCTCGCGATTTTTTCACACGATATTGGAAAGCCCTTGCATAATATACGATCGTTCAAAGCATCGAAGAGGGAACGTGTTGCTCTTTTTGAAGCACATAATTCTAGAATGCCCATAGTATATTTACTGACTTCCCTGCTATTAACGATGACCGAAAATTTTCAATCTTTATATATCTTCACCTCCAGGACAACTCTATGGCCATTGCATAAATCTTGAGACGGAATTTTCACCCATTCGAAAAAGTCATCTGAATGGTCAGACAGTTGCCAACCTAGTTCAGCTGTAAAACTTGGCAAATCGTCCCATTCTAAAAATTCATTGTCCGTTTGTTCTAGAATCATCTGCTTGGTTATCGTGTATTGGTATACTCGTTTACCGTTGACTCTCTTCTGCACTTTTTTGGCGTCTGGAAAGACCTCGTTGAAAATTATACCTAGTTCGGCTATGTTTAAACAGAAATTTTCTTTTTCAGGACAATTAATTTGGTAATGATGTAGAATTTCTGACGCTGTAGTGAAAGACTGACTATCAATTTTGTAATTCATCCTAAGCCTGTTAATAGAATTTAACCATGTTAAAAATGGAATTGTGAGGGAGGGAGCTAGCATTTCTCACGCCGCAATTTTTGGGGTACTGCCTTTTCCAAATCTGAGATCATACGCTGTGAATACGAGATTTGTATAACAATAAGTTAATTTACAGTTAAATATTTCAAAAAATGTTTTCATATTGCTTAGACTTTTCACGTCGTTTTCAAAAAAGCACCCCAAAAAATGAAAAATATATAGAAATGGAAAATATAACAAATATTTTTATGCCTACTGAGTACTGTGTATCGTTTTGTTTTACTTTTGAGTGTGTGTGTGTGTTTTTATTTTTAAGTGGTTTTTCATGTATTTTGTGCGTTTTTTTAAGCAATGATTGATTCAAATTTTAATTGGTTCGATTAGGAAAAAATGACATCTATAAATGTGAGGTATATATATCATCAAAGAGAGACATTTGTAAAACGATTAAATAAATATTTAATGAGGATTGCGGAATGAAATGCATTTACTACGTACCATTTAGATACAAAGATATGTTTATCTTTGTTCGAAATTTTCAATTGTTTTTCCTCGCCTTCAACGATATTTATCGCACGCCGTTTTAAATTAATTCTCTCCATGTTTCAAATACGTATAGTATACTACAATATATTTTACATTTTCAAATATAAATACTGTATGTGCCCTGTGCATTTACTACGTACCATTTAGATACAAAGATATGTTTATCTTTGTTCGAAATTTTCAATTGTTTTTCCTCGCCTTCAACGATATTTATCGCACGCCGTTTTAAATTAATTCTCTCCATGTTTCAAATACGTATAGTATACTACAATATATTTTACATTTTCAAATATAAATACTGTATGTGCCCTGTGCATTTACTACGTACCATTTAGATACAAAGATATGTTTATCTTTGTTCGAAATTTTCAATTGTTTTTCCTCGCCTTCAACGATATTTATCGCACGCCGTTTTAAATTAATTCTCTCCATGTTTCAAATACGTATAGTATACTACAATATATTTTACATTTTCAAATATAAATACTGTATGTGCCCTGTGCATTTACTACGTACCATTTAGATACAAAGATATGTTTATCTTTGTTCGAAATTTTCAATTGTTTTTCCTCGCCTTCAACGATATTTATCGCACGCCGTTTTAAATTAATTCTCTCCATGTTTCAAATACGTATAGTATACTACAATATATTTTACATTTTCAAATATAAATACTGTATGTGCCCTGTGCATTTACTACGTACCATTTAGATACAAAGATATGTTTATCTTTGTTCGAAATTTTCAATTGTTTTTCCTCGCCTTCAACGATATTTATCGCACGCCGTTTTAAATTAATTCTCTCCATGTTTCAAATACGTATAGTATACTGCAATATATTTTACATTTTCAAATATAAATACTGTATGTGCCCTGTGTAGTTGTAATTGTTTACGCGAATTTGAAATTCCAAACTAATTACAACTGTCAAATGAGGTTATAGGTCATAGGTCAATGCCTCAATGGTCTTCCGGTTTTATTCACTTCCGTCATAGGGTGTTGCGGTGCACATGCGACGAAAGATCTGCAATGTTTCCTCCCTTTCTTCGTTTCTTATTCGTTACCCTCTCGGCCAGTGTTCGTTGCTTTTCGG